GCCCAAGGCCCAAGCCCCAAACCGCCCCCCCCCCCCAGTCCTCCCCCCCCGATCCCCGATCCCTCCTGGCCCACGGCGGGGGGCCACGGCCCACCCGGGGGGCTCGTGACTCTCCACCAGCCTCCACCCCCAGCATCCTGGCCGCAGGAGGCTGGGGCCATGCCCACCAAGGTGTGAGCCCTCACCCGCCGCAGCAGCGCCAGGTCCATGCTCACGCCGTACTTCCCCAGCACAGGCTGCAGCGCTTCCCGGATGCGCTTGGTTGACTTTGCCGTGATGCGGATGGTCTTATTGAGGGAGGAGATTTCCAGCCTGCAGAGGAGAAGAAGAGGCTCTCTGCAGGCAAACATGGACAGGCAGGACAGGCAGGGGCAGAGCCAGGGCTTTCGGGACTGCCTGGGGGGTTGGGTGTGGGGCACCACGGGTGGCCACACATGATGTGGACCGGACATGTGGGCAACAGCATCAGCCCCAAAGCTCCCACTCACTCAAAGCTTATCCTGTTCTCCAGCTTCACCTCCTGGTCTGCCAACACAGAGCACTCCTGGTCCAGCACCAGCGCTTTCTGCAAAAGCCAAATGATCAGGAGAGAGCAAGCAGAGCGGCATGTGGTCCCAGCCCAGGGATGGTCTGGCTGGCAGGAGCCCCCTCTCATCCCTGCCCGCCCTACCTGCTCATTTCCCACCAGGTAGACCTTGATGTCGGGGAGGCTGAAGCCGCGCTTCTCGCATATCCCCGCCAGCATGTCGCGGATGGAGTGGCCGGGCCGGACAGAGGCCAGTGAGGCCGTGCCGTCAGGCAGGTACACGCAGCAGTACTTCATGGGCTTGGCCGGCAGCTCTGCCTCACTGCCCCCCAGACTCTTCCGATGGCCCTGCAGGAGGGATGCGGCAGGATGAGCACAGCCAGTGGCAGCGTGATGCTGCAGGCCCGGCACGGCAATGACTCACCTCCGTCCAGAGGCTGGCGGCTGTGCCGGCCGAGGACAGGAAGCCCAGGTCCAGGCTGGCGGAGGAGTTGAGCGAGCCCTGGGACTCCCGCCACAGCATGGCGCTCCCACCACCTTCTCCCCCATCTAGGACAGACAGAGGGATGGTGGTGAGGACCGTGGGCACCCTTCAGGGGCAGCACGGCCCCTCTGCCTCACTCGGCACAGCACCTACCTGCCCAGGAGGGCTCCCGCCGCTCTCCCTTCCTGAAGGACCGGCGGGGGCTGCGGTTGGCACCACTGCCTGCTGTCTCCACACCCAGCGGCAGGGACTTGCCCAGCTTCAGCTTCGACTTCTGGGGCGAATGGAAAAGCATCTCAGTGTGGAGACATCCAAGGCTGCCCCTTCCCTTTCCCTGGTTCCCCGAACTGCTTGTCTGTCCTCAGCCTGGGGCTGGGTTTGCTCCGAGCAGCAGGGAAGGGACCCATCACCGTTTTCTCAGGCCAAGGTACAGGTCCCCGTCCCCCCTTCCCACCCCACTCACCTTGCTGAGGTCAGGCGGGGGGCTGCTGCTGCGGGAGTGAGGCCGCAGGTCGGGCAGGGGCTGCCCCTGGCTCTCTGCCCGCAGGCAGGCCTGGTAGAGTGGGGATTTCACAAAGCGCGTGTAGCTGTCGAACTTCATCAGGTTAAAGATCTGCAAAGGGAGGATGCGTGTGCTTAAGACCCCTGCCCACCTGCAGCTCAGTCTGGCCACTGCCCCGTGACATGGCCCCACGGCGACAGCAGCGATGCTGAGTGATGTGCAGGGTGGTCCCGCAGCCTTTGTCCTGTGGGTGGGGTGGAGCACGGGTGCTGCTCGTACCTGGAGCTGCTGGATGCGAAACATGTCTGGGGAGGGGGTGGCCAGCATGTCCTCCCCAATCCAGGCCTGCTTGTCGATGTTCACAGGACTGACTGAGTGGCTGGAGAGGAACTCATCGTAGATTCGCCGTGCCTCCTGGGCCAGCTGGGGGAGTGGGGGGGTTAGGCCGGGACCAGAAGCCCCCTCCTCACTGCTACCCTGTGGGGAGCCCCTGGCTCACCCCACGGAGCCACCTGAGCCCTGAGGGGCCAAGTGGCCCCTGGGACCTGCTCGATGGGCATCAGAGCCAGCTGCCTCCACCCAGCACCAAGCTCTGGGCACAAGACACCGGTCTCTCTGTGGAGGTACAGCCCAAAGTAGGAACTGTCCCCCTGCAGCCGCATGACTCTGTCCCCACAAGCCCCCATCTAGCTCTCTGCCCTTGCTCTCTTGTCCTCCCAGCAGCACTCTCCACCCTCTGGCCACCCTGGGCTGGAGAAGCATGTCCTGCTCCATTGGGCAGGCAGTCCCGGCTGTGGCTTTTCAGATGCACATCACATCCATATCCTTATCACTCTCACAAGACACCCCAGCCAGCTCAGCCTCCCAGAACAGGGGTCTGCCAGGACCCTGGGACATGCAGGCACGACAGCTGCCTCTACCTCTGCTCACGTCCCTCCCAGCACCTGTGTGACCCAGGCTCAGCCACACCATGGCTGCACGGAGGCCCGTACCTGCTGCGTGTCACTGGCCGGGATCTGCTGGAAGCGCTCACATGCCTGCCAGAAGTAAACGTTTTCGGCGCTGAACTCCTTCTTGAGGAACTCCTGCAGGGCAGAGAGAGCTGCTGGCCTGGCCGGCACCGTGGCTGTGGGATGGCCAGTTGCCAACAGTGGATGGGAGCAGGGACCAAGGTCTGGGCTGTGGCACTCACAGTGAAGTAGGTGACGGCCACGCGGTCCTGCAGCAGCGTCTCGAAGGATTCAGCCCAGCTGACCACAGACCCCTGTGTGGAGCCGCAGGTGGCTGGCGGTCCCGGCAGGCTGTTCACGCTGTGGTTGCTGCCACGGGCCCTGGAGGCGTTTAACTCTGAGAGAGAAAAAGCATCATTCCCCTGTCGCCAGCAGCCCCCTGTATATGCAGCAAGTTCATCCGCTCCATCCTGATCGGACCCAGCGAGCCCTCAGGTAGGGAACTCCAGGGGCATCACAGCAGCATTCTCACCAGATTGAGCACCATGATGCCACAGCTGGCACCTTCCAGCGTGACAGCCCTCCCTGCCAGCACTGGCTGTCCTCCCCAGGGAGGGCGTGGGGAAGGCACCCAGCCAGCGAGGGAAAGCAGGGTGGAAGGGGACACGGGGGGCACACGGCATGGAGGGAAGCTCGGAGGATGGGTAGAGGTGCCTGAACTTACCTTCTCTGCTCCTCTGGCCATGATGAGGAACAAACCCAGCGAGAGGAAGGCACAGAAAGTGTCATCCCTAGCTCCCAACCCCAAGGAAACCCTCCCTCGGGAAAACGCAAGGTGACCATGCATTCAAATGGAGTCCCTCTGTCAAAAAGACGGAAGTTCCCAGGGGCAACTCCAGCTTTTGAACTGGTTTGGCTGGTGAGCAACTGGGAGCAGAGGGTCATTTGCCAGAGAAGGTGAAGGTATGCAAGCAGGGCTCTCCCAGCAAAGCCAGCAGGAACAGAGGAGGCAGCAGGTTGCTGCTTTGCCAGGCTCCCTGCCCTTCTCCTCCTGTCCAAAACACAGGGTAACTGTGCACACCCTGTGCATGCAGGTGGGAAGAGCAGCCACCGGCACCCCGTGCTGGAAGGATCCTGCAGCAGGGCCGAGACGGGCGAATGGGCCATCTGAGATATCCAATGCACAATGAGAGACAGACAGACAGACTCACTCCCTCAGGGAACCTGGGGCTGGCTGGTACCCAGGTTCTGCTTGCCCTGGGAAGCCTCTCAGCCCCCAGCACCCAAGGGTGCCAGCTGAGCAGCCAGAAGGGAGGGACAGGCGACATGGGGCTCTGCAGGAGGGATGGGGGGATATGGGGAGTCCCTGGCAAAGGGCTTAGCCTGGCACTGTGGGGGCCCAGCCATGCACCCGCCCACAGCACAGCCTGTGCTGACACAGGACCTGGCTCTCTGCTGGCTCCTTGCCCCTGGCACCAGGCTGACTGTGGGCTTCCCCCTCCCCTGAAGACGATGCTGGCCTCCCGTCCCGGAGCAAAGAACAGCCTTACCTCCATCAGACACAGCCGGGCCCTGCGGGGGTGGAGAGAAGAGAGGTGAGAGGGGGCACACAGCATCCGCCAGCCCAGTGGAGCGGTACCCGGGCAGGCGGCAGCTTCAGGGCAAGCCCAGTCCAAACCCAGGAGCTACGGACATGGGCTGCCAGCAAACACTGCTCTGGTGTTAGCTGCAACCAGGATGGCTGCCCCACGGCAGGGGCAGGACACGGGGCTCCCAGCCCAGGGGCAGCGAGCAGGGGTGGGGGGGTTACAAGGGGTGCGCAGCTTTTCTCCCACCTCCCGTGCATCTACTGCCCTGGGGCCAGGCTGGCAACTGGGAAAGGGCAGACGCTATCAGATGTAACCCTGCCACTGCTGCCTGGGGAGGAGAGAAGCAGCCTCCCCGGCACAGGAAGAGGAGGGGAGGCGGGGAGGGAAGGAAGGACAACCACAGCCCTAGGCAGGCAAACTGCCTGCTCCCTCCTTCCTTGGGGCCTGGGGCTACTGGAGAGCAGATGCCCAAAACCGGGGACCAGGTCCTGCCAGAGCTGCCAGCCCAGGGCACAGCAGGACAGGGTGCCCTGCAGCATCCCCTGGGCCACCCCAGATACCTGCTGCGGGGATGTGGTACCCCAGGACCCACAGCAAGCAGGCAGATGGGCAGAGCCTCCACAGTCAAAGCCCAGCCAAGCACTCCCTGCACAGCGCTGCCTCTCATTGCCTGCCTGGGGCCACACTGAAGTGGTGCCCTTGACTTGGCTGGCCAGTGCCCCCCACCCTGCCAGCCCCACACACCCCAGCCTGTCCTGCCTCCTGCCCCAGCCCCACTATTCCACCCCTGCCTGTTCCTGCTACCCCACCCCATGTGCCGCTGCCATGCCCCTTACCCCAGCCCCACACATCCCAGCCCTGCCTGCCCACTACCCCAGCCCCACACACCCCTATCTTGTCATCTGCTTGCTCTTCCCCATCCATCCCTGTTGCCCACACCCGCATAGCTCTGCCCTGCTTGTGCCACCCAGTCCCATGCACCCCAGCACTGCTGACTCCTGTTTACCCCAGCCCCATACGTCACTGCTTGCCCATTACCCCAGTGCCATACATCCCCACTTATATCGCTGTCTCAGCCTCATAGACCCCTGCCTTCTCATTACCCCAGCCCCATATGTCCCTGCCTGCCTGTTACCCAGCCCCATATACCATTGCCTGCCCTAATACCCCTCTACATCTCTGCCTGCTGTGGATACCCAAGCCCCATACACCCCTGTCTGCACGTTACCCAGCCCCACACCCCCTGCCTGCCCGTTATCCTCTCCACACCCCTCTGCCTGCCCGGTACCCAGACCCATATCCCCCTGCTTGCCCGTTATCCGCCCCACATCCCGCTGCCTGCCCGCTACCTGGCCCCATACATCCCCCTGCCTGCCCGTTATCCGCTCCACAC